TCTGAACCCAGGTCCTCTCGGTCCAAGCCTTTGTACCAACATGCTTCTCTACCTTACACGTGATAAGTGCTTAATAAATGCTCGACCAATGATCAACAAGCATTTTGAGCACTTATTACATTCAAGGCACTGTACTAGGCACTGGGGATGAAAAAAAGGGCAGAAATTGTATCAATTGAAAAAAGCAAGGAACACAAGTCAGAACACCTTGATTCAAAACCCACTTCTCACACTTATACCTATGTTGTATGACCTTGGACAAGTCACTTTCCTTCCCACAGCCTCAGTTTTCTCGTCTGTAAAATGTGATCGTTAGACTAGACGGTCTCCAAAAAATAAAAAATAAAAATTAAAAAAAAAGACTAGACGGTCTCTGAGAGGTTCCTCCCAGCTCTCTATGACCTTATAAATTGAACCAGCTCTTATTTAGATGTCCAAGAGCCATTCCTTACCCTCAAAAAACAAGTCTAGTAAATTTCAAAGAGAAAACAGTATGAGCTAGTATATAATTATACCCTAAACTGGGTGTGTATGTGGCTGGCTATAGGAAGGAGGTAAGAGAAGGGAAATACCAACATTGGGTGAGCTTATCTGTGCATTGAGAAATCCCTCACACCCACAGAGAGCCCCATAGTCGTCCAAGGCAGACACAACATACCTTCAGCACTCAGCACAGTGCTAGGCTCCAAGCAGGTACAGGATAAGGGGTTGATGAATTGAATCACATGGTTTTTTAAAACACTCTCTTAATTGCAGCAGGCACACAAATTATTTAGGAGCTACCTGAATAATTAACAGCCCTGCAGAATTGTCTCCATGCAGATTCAAACTGCTTTATCTCAGAGGGGAGGGACATTTATCTTCGCTGCTGTGTATGCAGGAACCCAGAAAACTCCACCCTCTTTCACCCTCCATAAAGGGAATTCTTAGTTATTGGGGTTTTTTTAATTATTAAAAACTCTGCTGTTTCTAATCACTCAAGAATCATCATCTATAGCAAGTCTTTCCTGGTTTTCCCTCCTGCCAGTGCCTTCCTCCCCCAGGTTACCGTACCTATGTCTGCTGTCAAAGTGATCTTGCTAAACTCAATAAACTTCAGTGGTCCATTATTATTTCCAGGACCAAATAGAAAATCCTGTTTGGCACTGATGTCTGTGATCACCTCTTCCCCCATCCTTTCCTTTCCAGTCTTACACCCACCTATCCAAACACATACTCTGTGACCCAGTGACACCAGCCTCCTGTCTGACTCCAAAGCATTTTAACTTGCCTTCCTCCATGCCAGGAATGCACTCACTCACTACTCACCTCTCCCTACTGGCTTCTCTGGCTTCCCTCGGGCCCAGCTCAAATCCCACCTTCTTTTCCCAAACCCCCTTAATTCTAGTGACTTCCCTCTGTCTACTATCTCCAACTTAGCCTTCTTTGGAATTGTTTGCAGGTTGTCTCAAGTTAAGACTGGAACTTTGAAGGCAGGGACCATCGTAAGCCTCTCTTTGTATCTCCACGCTTACCACAGTGCCTGACACATAGTAGGTGCTAAGTGATGACTGACTTGGTATACGTCATATATTTACCTTCATATGTGTTTTATATGGACATTTAGGAGGCAAAGCGGACAGAGTTCTGGGTCTGGAGTAAGGAAGACTCACCTCCCTGAGTTCAAATCCAGCCTCAGATACTTACTAGCTCTGAGACCCTAAGCAAGTCACTTCACCCTGTGTGCCTCAGTGCCTCATCTGTAAAATGAGCTGGAGAAGGAAGTGGTAAACCAATTCCATATCTTTGGCACAGCTAGGTGGCATAATGGCCTGGAATCAGGAAGATTCATCTTCATGAGTTCTAATCCGGCCTCAGGCACTTACTACTATGTGAGCCTGAGCAAATAACTTAACCCTGTTGCCCTCAGTTTCCTCAATTGTAACATGGGATAATATTATCAACTAATTTAATCATTATTTATTATATAATAAAACTAATTAAGAATTTATTAGCAGCTAATAATAATTAAATAAATAATGAAGTTATGTTAACAACTCCCAGGTGAAGATCAAATGAGTTAATAATTGTAAAGCACTTAGCACAGAGCCTGGCACATAGCAAGTGCTGAAGCTATTATTATTATGAACATTTTCTCCATCACTTTCTTTAGCCTGAACAATCAATGAAACAATAAATCAAGCCCTGATCTGCAGCTTTGCCAGATTTCCCACATGTAAATGCTCACAGGTTCAAGGTGCCTCCAGCACATCAATGATTAAGGCCCTACTAAGTGCTAGGTGCTGAGATTACAAAGACAAAAATGCACCAGTTACAGTCTCATGAAGTTGACATCCTATGGGGGCAGCCAACATGTAGACACACATAATTCTTGTTTTATTTCTACCAGGTCTTCTTCAATTTTCTTAATTTAGGGAGCCCCTCTCTAAACATAGATCAGCATCTTCCCTGAAAGGTAATCATAGAGCTGGCTTGGTCACCAAAAGGTTAAATGACTTGCCCAGGGTTCACACAGCCAGGGTCAGAGAAGAGCCTTGAACTCAGGTCCTCGTGACTAAGGTTAGCTCTGCATCTGGACTCTCTACCCAAAATAAGGACCAGGTAATTTCAAGAGGGAGGCAGTGGAGACTGAGCAGGCATTAAGCCTTGAAGGAAGCAAGGGATGCTAAGAGGAATATGGGATGCTATGAGATGACATTTTATATAATATAGTCTGAACAAGGAATTCATCCTCAAGGCTTTCTCTTTTGGATTGTAACAAGAATTATTCAACAAGAACTATTTTCCAACAAAAAGGATTTTTTTAAAGAATAGAAAATAATTTTGAATTTCCCCAAAACATTTTCAGATTCTAAAAAAAAATCTTTTGAAGTTTTGGCAAAGTCTAATTCTAGAAAGTTCACCAGTATATTTCTTAAGGGAATAAAATGATCAAAATATGAGCCCAATGACCTGTGCCCTTTTCCTGAGACGGTTATAAGCTTTCTTCTGTCTTTTTCCAGGCCAAATACCAAGATGAAATTTTTACAAACAAAAAAAATATGAATACAATTTTCACTCTCTTAACTCAGCTGAGATGTTCTCTCCAAAAGATTGCTACTTGTGTTTGGCTGGTTTCCTGGAATTGAAGAAAGAACTGAGAGCTCTTGGTCAACTTCAAAAATGAGAAAGTGACTGAGAATGAAAGGCTTTAAAAAAATCCTCTCCCTTCCACTGAGCCAAGGGTCCTGCTTCAGGAGGGTAGATTCAATTCATGGGTTAAGCTCACTGGCTAAAACATGACAAGGAATCCCAGTCAGGCCTGAGGGAGAAATCTAACTCAGTGGAAGGCTACAGGCTGCAAACAATTTCCTTGCAGTGAAAGG